ACTAGACTCCAGCTCGCACGGCGGACAGTAAAACATCATCTCGCTGCGGCGTCGCCACATGGAATATCTGAGGCGGCGCAAGTGGCACAGCACGTTGATTCGGGGATAAAATTGACTGGGATGTCCCAGATGACGCCGCGCGCGTGTCGTGAAAGGACTACATAGCCTACCCCGCCCCACCGTGAGGCCCCTTCTCATTCCGAGCACCTTTCATTCCTCTGGGCTGCGCAACCTCTAGGTTCATCATGGCCGGGCTCGTTGGCGAGATACACGGGCCATCCCCGACTGGCAATGGCGCTGGGCAGTCAGCCAATGACGTGGGTGAAGTGGGCGCAGCAGCTTCTCCATCAGATTGTGCGCCATGCTGGCATGGAGGAATCTCACCTATCAACGCCGCCGTCTCTGCCTCGTACTCCGCGGCCTGCGCCTCTTCCTTGCCATTCGCCACTGGCGACGACGCTGCAACCGTTGGCGATGGTAGTACGTACAGCGCGTCTCGTTTGAGCTGATCCGCGTACTCCTTCGCCTCACGATCAAGCTTCAGAGCGATCTCAGCATCCTGTTAATTGGGGAATGGAGGAAGAGGGGCGCTCGGACGCTGTAGCTGCGCGCGCTAGATAGCCTCGATGATCGCCTCTCGCTGCTGCTGCTGGTTAGCTGCCGCAGCCTCTGCTGTTGTGCATTATCGTGCAAAGTCTGCCGGCATCTATGCATCCTGCGCCTGCGCCCCCCTTCTCCTGCTGAACCATAAAGGATGCCAGATGTCGCTCATGCTCCGCTTGAGTAAGATGTCCAACCATTCCCTGCTGTTGGGTGTGGGCTTGGACTGGCACGGGCTGTCCACATGTATGTTGTATACAGATGTACTGCGCTGGATGTGGCTGCTGATACTACTGCTGACCTGCCATGCATTGCACGTGTTGGTGATGAACGGTCATACGGGGCTGTATAGACTGATGATGCGCGTGTAGCTGTTGGGCTGGCTGACGCTGCGCATGCTGGCTGTGCTGCTGAGCATGTGCATTTTGAAAGGAATTACCCTGTTTATCCTGACCATGCTGATGTTGCCAGAGCTGCTGTTGCTGCAGATGTCGTTGTTGCACGTGTTGTTTCATCTCGTCTTGCGCGGGCGCCTTTGCTGTAACCATATGTGTTAGCATGTTGACTTGCCCCATGAGCATTTCCATTATCTGCATATGCTGCTGCCGAAGGCACCACTGAGGAGCTGCCGAGGACTGTAGGGGCCGAGGAGGTGGAGGGGCAGGTGGACGCGGGGGGTCCCGTCCAAGTACGCCTGGCCGGCGTTCATCGTCATGCGTTTCCTCCGCGTCATCCTCATCCTCCTTGGTGTTTTCAACTCCCCCATTAATCCTTCAAGGTGCCCATTGTTCGCCGTAGCGCTGTTTTGTTCAAGCGCCTTCTTCCGATCGTTTATCGCTTTCGTAAGCTATGCCTCCAACTTCTCCAGATCACGCTCGAGGACTCGCTGTTGTTTGTAGCTAGGCATTGCTGCCAGAAGCCTGAACTTGATCACACTGACTTATCCTGCCTGCGCTACGTATGTCTGTCCAGCTTCTTGCGCCGCCACGATCATCTTCAGCAGATTGGAAAGGCGAACGTCAAGTCTCTGCTTATAATCTCGAAGTCGTTGCTTGCTCTCTGGTGGCCATGATAAATGTTAATGTTGCTGGGCGTCTTCTGGAGTAGCTATATCACCTCATCAAATGCTTTGCCAAATTTCTTCTCTGGCTGGAAACTCTGTTGGTCTCTCGTCTTTCGTAAGTCTATGCCTCCAACTTCTCCAGATCACGCTCGAGGACTCGCTGTTGTTTGTAGCTAGGCATTGCTGCCAGAAGCCTGAACTTGATCACACTGACTTATCCTGCCTGCGCTACGTATGTCTGTCCAGCTTCTTGCGCCGCCACGATCATCTTCAGCAGATTGGAAAGGCGAACGTCAAGTCTCTGCTTATAATCTCGAAGTCGTTGCTTGCTCTCTGGTGGCCATGATAAATGTTAATGTTGCTGGGCGTCTTCTGGAGTAGCTATATCACCTCATCAAATGCTTTGCCAAATTTCTTCTCTGGCTGGAAACTCTGTTGGTCTCTCGGTCTGGATTGGCGTCGGCTTGATCTCTGCCGACGCCACGGAGTCTGAGTTCGCCACTGGTGGTCTCCATAATACTGCTGTGGTTGCTGCAGCCGCTGCCTGCTGCCACTGTAGCGCAATCCGGGCCGAGTGGTGGCTGGCGAGGAGCTGAGCAGCCTGCGCTGTGCGCACCAGCAGTCGCGCCTGCGCTTTGGCGGAGCGCTCGCCCTGGCACCTCGTTCGAGGATGGACAGACCTCCCTTTAGCAAAACGTCGTTTAGTGAAAACGACCTGAGGCCCAAACCTGGCGGCGGCAAGCCTGGAAAATAACGGCCACGGCGCCCTCTCGAGAACCGAAAACGGACAATTCACTAATCGACGTGTCACTGTTGGGGGTTCTGTCCACCCCCGCCTCGTGGGACCGCTGGGCGAGGCATGCAACTGTCAGCGCG